TATTAGTATGGTGTTCCTAATAATCCCTTTAGGTGAGTGTATATTCCAGTAGACTGCTTGAAGCGCTGTAGCATCACACCTCCAGGGCTATTTAATTTGTGTGATAGGGTTATCTATAATGTGTGATTATATATCTCATTTACTTGTTAATTCGTTCTAGTGATTTGGCGATAAGTGATTTGATTTTTTATATTTGCTTTATGTTGGTCAAAAATCCAAACCAGTGACCTTAGCCTCCTGCACTTCAATAACGTCATGAAATTGCCATTTATCAAGTTCATACAGCTTAAGGTCAAGTAATCCTACTGCCAGATTGCTAGTAAATTCAAAGGTACAGCATTACCATTTCAAACATTAATCAGTTAATAAAGTTATTGGTCAAAAAGGAAGATTAAGAATGCTATGGAATAATGTCGCCCTTTTTATGACAACACTGGACAAATGTTAAATCTGGTTTTTAGTTCTGTTTGACAAGTTTAAACATGAGGCTCAATTTCAGAAACAGATGACAACAGCTCAAGTGCCGTTTATTGGTATAACAAAAAAAACAACGCATTACCAGCCATATATTGTTACTTGAACAATGAATAGTTATTCCTAAGGGGAAAAAATGTTGTAGAGCAGTCATTAAATAAACGTATACAAGTGATTCAGGGAGACTGAGTGTGAGTCAGGGTCTGTCCATGAGGGAGAAAAATCAGCTCAGTCTTCCTCATCCCAGCCTTTCTTGCCCTCAGGGGCTTTGGGTCCTCCTGCGGGTTTAGCCATGATGATCTGCATCAGAGGGAAAAAAGGCACAGATCAGTAGAGACTAAGATACCACCGGACAGTCTGTCAGGCAGGAGCAACATTTTTCAAAAGTTCTATTTCAATGCCACCCCAGAAAACTAGCCTGTTACTACACACGCAGCATGCATAAGTGCATCAAGTGGTCTGCATTACACGCAAAACGCTTCTCTTCTATATCACACTTCAGTTAAGTGAAACTCGGCGCCTCATGCTTGCCAGTGTCACACCGAACATTTGCGGGTTAAGAAAAATCACAATATGTTAGCTTCAGTGAGAATAAGGAGACCAGGTCACGTGCTCCTGTGGTACAAAACATAGGTGCCATAACGAGCTTGTTATTTCAGCACACACACATCCCCCGAGTGTGAACATATCCATGCTTTTTCAAACTGTGCGTGCTTCGCTCCAGCACCTGTCATGTCCAAATACGCCTAATAATGGCTGTCAAATTTATCAGGCTCCTCGTCCAAACCATCTTTGTCCCAGTGTCCCTGCTGCTTGGGAGCCTTAGGTCCACCGGCTGGCTTAGCCATAATGATCTGATACATCGCACACAAGACCACGTTAACATCCCAAATGAGAACTGTCTTCGGAAACATGGTTTTAACTGCGTGCGCGATGCATGGCCTGACCTGGTCTACTCGGAGCACGGTGATCGCGGCGTTGGTGGCCAGTTTGATGCCCCAGTGCTTCACCAGGTACGGGTCCAGGATTCCAGCCTCCAGCATGTCCTTCACTGTCGCCCCCTCAGTCTGAGGCAGAAGGAAACACATTGCCAATGCCCCTTGGATTAGGATGGTTCAGCTTTACGACGGTCTGACAGTCATGCATATTTAGTCATCAACTTTGAATTTTGATCCATTCCCAGGCTAATGCCGTATGATAATTCCTGCTGATGCTGGGCAATGGGAGCAAATACCCAGCCACGCTTGAAGTGAAGTGTTTGACAACACATCATACAGCGCTTTACTTTTCAATAACTGGCATTTAGTTACAATAATTATTTACTTATTCAGTGACTTTTTTTTTTTTATCGTATCATTCTCATATACGACTGATATTTTCCACTTACGATGGGTCCGTCGTAACATTACCCCATCGTAAGTCAAGGAGCACTTGCATTTTTAATGTATTGTATTTATTTTTTTGTGCTGTCCCACCCTCCCTGATCTCACCTCGATGTCAAAGCCGATGTTCTTGTTCCCCTCGTGATGCGCCGCGTACAGCTTAGAAACAAGCTCGTTACCCTTGACACCAGAGTTCTCCGCTAGGGCCCGCGGCAACGCCTCAAAAGCCTCTGCGAACTTCTTGATGGCATACTGCTCCAGGCCCGGACAGGACTGCAAGGAACGACAACCAAAGTGAGGCCCTGTGACCATGGCGATGCCGGAACAGAGACCAGGACATCAACTGCCGTTCACTTACCTCCCCGTATGATGCAATCTGTTTGGCCAGCTCAATCTCAGTGGCTCCTGCACCCGGCAGAAGGCGTTTATCCTGGGGTGGAGGGTTCAAGAGTTTTGTTTTTTGATCATACAGTCACATCTGTTGTTTATACACCTGCTGCTACGTTAATGATCAGCCTGAGCGGGCCTTACCCGGATGAGAACCTTGAACGTGTTGACGGCATCGTCGATGGCCCGCTCAATGTCATCCATCATGTTGTCAGTGGACCCACGAATCACCAGAGTAGAAATTGCGCTGTCCTCTTTCTCTGCGAGTGACACGAAGCCCGTGACCACATGCGTCCCCCGCCCTCCTGCCCCCCCCCCCCCGCCAACAGTTTACCGATTTCCATCCTTTCCGGAGGCATTTAGCTACGAGTCTCACCGTGTTTGAAGACGACAACCTGAGTGTCGCCAACTTCTGTGAGGTAAACAGTGTCACAGTGGCCCATCTCCTCGGGGGTGGGGACCGTCTGTGAATGGAAAAAAAAAATAATAGTTAAGACTTATTCCAAAGGGTTTAGCAGGCAACCAGGCTTATGTTATATATATATATCCATCCATCCATTTTTTTGAAAGCACCTGTCCTATTCAGGGCCGGGGGGGGGGGGGGTAACGCTGTGCGCTACTTACCAGTCTGGGCAGAGCTACGGCTCCCACAGTTTTGCACAGTCTTCTTAAGTCCCATTTTGAATTCAGCCTAATAGAATGTCACAAGAAACTCTTATTAATGCAAAGCCAGTCACTTTCATTCCTTCACTAACAATCAAGTGCATCAAAGCATTGCAAAGCACCTGCAGTGAGTGGACCGAGGGATGTCAGCAGTGAACAATGTCCACGTCGCACATTCAGAAGGTATGGCAGATAACTGTGTAACATGTACTAACAGAGTAACATTTGCTGCTAGGAGTAATAACTTGCTTCATTACTTGCCCTCATGTGTTCTCTTGTATTTGCAGACACATTGTAACATGTACATGACAATAACAGTGTAAACGGCGTCGGCAGGGCGACGGTGCCTCACCTGACCACCATGAGCTGGTACTTGTTGGCGTAGTGCAGTGCCATGTCGGCCACTTTGCCCCCGGTCACCACCACGTTGGCGCCAGCCTCTGCGACAGCCTTCACCTGGGCCTCCATCAGACTCTCCTCGCCCTTGCTGAAGTTCAGGAGCTCGTCCGCGTTGTTGATCAGAACTGTGCCCTAGTGCAGAAAAATGTACATAGTTTTCCATCTTTTATACAGAGAACCAGACCTCACACTTAAGTGCAATGGGGATTTCAAGGGTTTTGTCACATGCAAGGTATACAGTCAGACCATAACCTGCAGTGAAATGTAAGGTTAACACTGCCATATGAACAGTGACAGCAGGAAGACATTTTAAAAGAGTGACATGGTAATAAACAGATATGCATGTAACTGGTGTGCAACTATGCATTCGCCGTATAATGCAATACGTGCTGCAATTTTCAGATGCGTATTTATACACATTCACTCTGCGATGATGAGGAATCACTGTGCATTTTAACATTTAAACTGCAAATGAAGTACAAATTAGCTGTATAAAAGTTAAAATGCACAGTAATCTTCTAGCAGGGAAAATGCATAAGTATCGCATTATACAGCGAATGTGTACTTGCGTACCAGTTATGTGCATCTCTGATAAAAAAAAAATGAGTTACACTAAAAAATAATAATAATTACACTGAAATCAGAAATTAAAAGAAAAAAAACACAAGTTATGCTGTTAAAAAAGTATATGGGCCTTAGATGTCCAACTCAGCTCGAATTAAGTGGTGGCGCGTAGAAAGGAGGGGATATGAGTAACGAGACCTCGGGGATCAGTCTCTGGCCAAAATGAGGTCCATGAGCGATCGGCTTACTTTGGTCTCAGTCACCATGCAGTCGAACGGACAGGAGAACACCGCGATCTTGGCGTCCTTCACCGACGTGATGTCCCCCTCAGCTTCCTTCTTGAACACCATCCCCCGCAGCACCGACGAAGCATTCAGGCCGCTGCCCTGAGGTCGCAGCAAAACAACGGAGTCGCATCAGGTGCCTGCTGCAATCTGCTGGAGACCCGTGCGATTCCGAAGTCAAGGGGACTTACCAGTATTTTGCACACCCGGACGTTGTCCACGTTGAAATTTCCAGACTCTGGGAAAATGGAAACTGCAACACAAATAGGATGTTTTTCAAGTGGGGAAATGGCCAGATCATGTTTAACCAGAGGTCTCCAACTCCGGCCCTGGACAGCTACTGTCCAGTCCATTTCCTATCCTACCTGGCTTCTGATGAGCCACAGCTATTCCCAGTTACATACCAGGAACAGGTGTGGCTCATGAGAAGCCAGATAGAATAGAAATCCTACTGGCTAGTAGCTCTCCAGGACCGGAGTTGGAGACCCCTGTGTTAAACACGTAACTCTAGGAGCACAGAGCCAACCCAACCTCAAAAAAAGATTTAGAGTATAAAAACAGAAGGCAGATGTGACTCATTTTAACATTAACAGCAGACACAAACAGCACTCACCACAGGCCTGGGCGATGAGGCTGGCCAGGAAGTCCTCGTTGCCGTACTGCTTGCTCATGACGGCCGGGCGGATCACAGCAGTGGCCTCATTCTCGTCCCGAAGGCTCTTGGCTGATGAGCACACGCAGTCTGGCAGGATTTCCAGGGCCTTCTTGCAGGCCATCTCGTACCCCTCGATGACCTGCCGACATTGACCCGGAGCGTCAGAAGATGGGTCCCCCCAGGGCAGTGTAGCAGTGCTTCCTTTGTTTATTCATTTTGTCGCCCACTCACCTCAGAGACAGACAGCCCCATCCTGAGAAGCTCCTCGGCCAGCTCCAGCAGAGCCCCGGCAAACACCAGGACAAAGTTTGTGCCATCGCCCACCTCCTGCTCCTGCATATGGGATGCCATCACGATCATCTTTGCGGCGGGGTGCTGGACCTGAGGAACAAGCAACGCTTCAGTCAGCACATAAACAAGTAACCATCTAGTAGTGATGGCCAAGAGAGGTTTCATTAACCATTTGCTGTATTTTTTTGTTCAAAAAAGGGCTCAACACATGTCCCAAAGCAAACCAAGAACACCATCTACTGGGGTCAAAAAAATACAGCAAATGGTTCGTGAAGCCTCACTTGGCCATCACTACCATCTACTCCTGCCACACCTCATCAGGGCACTGTGACCTACCTCAAGCTCTCTCAGGATGGTTGCGGCATCATTTGTGACAAAGAGCTTCTCCAGGTGGTTGATGACCATCTTGTTCATCCCTACAAAAAAAAAAACACATGGCATTCATACATATATAGTCAGCTGCTGCTGCACTACTCCACAGACCGAACCCAGAGCCCCGAGATGTGTTCAACCGGGGAAGCAGTCCATACCATTTGGCCCATAAGCAGTCCGTGTGGTCTGTGCCAGCTCTTTGCATGCCTGAATGTTCCGGAAGACAGCTTCCTCCAAACCAGAATAGTGCTGAAAATATCAGATAAACCACATTAATGAAACTAAAATTATCCATATCATCATAAATTCACCCTCTGCTGTCTTTAACTTAAGATTTTTAACATGAAACATATCAGAGATAACAATTGCTAGTTCAAATAAACAGAATGAATACACAATTCTATAAAAAAGAATTTTTAGAGAATTTAGCAGGTGGTGGGGAGGCATGATAATATTGCTGCAAATATTAAAAACAATGGTGCAGGCCACCGCGCAATGCTTTAATGTATGCAAGTGTACCTACAAATAAACACCGGAAAACAGAAAAAAATAATATTTTAATTCACACATATCGATAATATTCTTGCAAATAACATAATAATCAGTAATCCGCTACTTTCATCAAACGAAGAAGAGCACAACACCAGTCAATCGAATTAACTTTACACAAAAATGTGGCATCTAAACTGTCATGTCGGTAGTTAAAAACGATTCGTCGCCTGATTTAACACGAAGGACTCACTATCAGAGGAGAATGAATGAGTTGCTAACTAGCATCCGAGCTAACTATGAACACATGCACGTGTGGGATGCCATAACCAGGAAAAATAGCCGTGCGCTGGTTAATAAATCCCCGAAAGGCAATACTGTCTCTAAAATAAATAACATAAAGATAATGCATATAAAATGCTGAGGTTCTCTGTTATCGCAAAGGATGAAACGAAAAGAAGGCGATGCGGAGCCAGAGGCTGGGCCTACTGTTCCAGAAACGTCCAGCACATGACGGGACAAAACTGCTGCTGCACAAGAGAACCGCGAACAAACAGCAAAGACAAAGATGATAAAGTACAATACCTTCGCGCCATCTTTCAGCATTTGGGCAAAGCCCGGGGCTTTGGGCACATGTAGAGCCATATTTGTCGTCTCTGTTCTTTACAGTAAGATTTCGCCGCCCCAAGTACTTAGAAGAAAGAACCAGCGGCCGGCGCACGAGCTCAAAATTCAGCGAAGGCAGCCCAGCTCTATCGATAGTCGAACGGATCGATTCACAAGGCAGTCTGATGAATCGCAGAATGATTATGGATCGATTACATCCACACCAGTTTTGTATTGCGACTGTGCACCTATAACCCATCAGATTAATTTATAATTGAACAAAAAAAAACTAATCGCAATTCATATTTTTTATTCTTTATTTACTTTATTGGCTATATTTTGTCGGTCGTTACAGTATGAGTAGTAATTTGGTCAATATTGTAAATTCCATTATATATATATATATATATATATATATATATATATATATATATATATATATATATATATATGATACACGTGTATATATATAAAACATTCAAAATTTGTTGGTTATTTTTTCATTAATATGAGTTATTTGTATTTGTCTTATTTGTTTTGTTTTATTTTATTTTGTATTTTTATCATCTAAACACAAGTAAAGATTTTCCGTAGTCTGAATTACGCTTGCTTTGAAATTTTCTCATTATTCTGCAAACCTACGATAATATTCAAGTGCATTACTGGTAAAGAAAAACAAGCTATTATTTAACCAAGCAATTAGAAGAGACTCATTCTGGTATACTGCATCATTGCACAGCTATTGCATCGCTAACTCAGGATGGCTGTGTCACTCAAAGCTGATTGGAGCCGTGAGCATTTTTCTTGACTAAAGTCATGCCATCTGAGCCATTTAATTGGGACCCAAATGACAGACGAAGTACAGAGAGCAGCATCCCCGCTGTCCAAGCCCCTTGTTGCACTTCACCCGGCGTGGATGTTAACATGTAACAGACGAACCGGCGTGCTGTGAAGAGCAGATTTCAGGCACAGCGCGAAGCCATTTCTGTCCAATTATACTAGTGGCCACAACTATTGGTTAACATTGAAAAGAAAAAAAAAACACTTAGCCTGTACTTGGAAAGCAAGGCGGCAGCTTGCATATATAAAAGTCTTGCCGGCCCCGGTTGAAAATTAAAGAGGATAATCCTCCTTTGAATTTGGACGTCCTCCGTGAAGCCGACCTGAGAGGTAAGTCGGCGGCTTCAGGTAAGCACGTGCTTCACGGCAGCTTCTGCCTGCTGCCTCCCCGTTTCTCATTGCTGACTCGCATCCAGATTTACCCATTTACGATTATTTTGCATGCTGGTACCGTTTCAGTCGTTTGTATCTTACCGACATTTACACGTATTGTGTGGAGATTTCTCTTTCTGGACAACACTGAACAATCCTCTATTTGAAAGTGAAATGTACAGTGAAATGTACTCATTCATTTATTATTTTTAATGTCAGGCAATGAAAATCAGCCTGGTTCTAAATTAAAAAAGAAAAGCACACATTGCCAACTTATCATTTGAGCCTCAGAATGTGTGGCTGAGCTCGTAAAGCGAAGCCTGACCGCAAACAAATAGCTTCGATTTATTTGTTGCCATAATAATAAACGGGTGTTTAGTGGTTTTCATCTACTGAGCCAAAACGTCTTTATTAATTATATATGAGACAATACTAAAGGAACAATAGCTTATCCATATTTTATAACAAATACCACTTATAATAGCTTAATCTTTAATGTCGCCTCGGGCTGATGACCTTGTAAGAAAGAAATAATGTAGCAGTGTGATCTGTTCTGACAAAGTTGTCCCCTAAATTGCATTGTTTTTCTCCCTTACGACTTTCACCTTTCTCCCCCGCAAGGAATAAATGATCACTTCAACAAGACGGGTATCGCCTGACAAACCTGAATATAGAATTGCCTTCAGTCTCGACGAACCCTCAGGTAAATCAGTGTCATTCACTCAATGCATTCTCGCACGCATGGGCGTAAATTATGGGGGGGGGGGGCTGTGTTTTCATTTAGGGAGTTGTACGTATGGAGAGATTCACTCAACAGCCATCTCTCGTCGGCTGCCCTCTAAAACAAAACAGACCACCCCCCCCAATGAAGAGCTGAGGTTTGGGTGTGTGTGGGGGGGGGAGTAGATGTACAAAATTCCTGACCCCAGAACAGTGCCTAGAAAACCCGACACGAGCCACTCTGTGCAGTATAAATTTAACTGTAGTCATTCTTTTAGCAAGACAGGTGTTCCCTCTATTTTGGTATACTTTGGCATCTTAAAAAGCGAACATCTACCTAGCCGCACTGAGGGGCTGTCTGGGTCCAGCGCTGTCAAAGTGTTTTACAGCTATTCAGCCAAATGCTTGGACGGCAGCTGCGGCGGAGATATCTCGGCATCAGGTTTCCCTCCCCCTTTAATACCGCGGGGGCCTGTGCTTCTCTAGTTTGCTTTTTGAGCACTGACCTATATTTAAAAGCATTTAACACTCTGCACTCCTTTCGAGCCCCAGCGCATCATCACATGCGCGATGTTTCTAGCGGGAGGTGAAGGGCGACATTGGCCGAAGCTCTGTTTAGAACCTGTAGTTTACGCTAAAACAACGTAAATTGTGGTTCTGAATGTACAGTGTCTTGTAAATGTAGTGTGATATTTGCCAATATCACTAACCAGCGCTCAATCCTTTTCCCAGCTCATGCTCAATAAGACAGCATGTACTTAAAGGCCTTTGGTCTATACTCAATATAATGACATAAAACTGTATTCTCAAAAATAATACAGCCTTATTCCATGTATATTTATGTTCTGTCTTCCGAGATTTGTGTTGGAAAATGTGTTTGACCTTCCATTTAGCATCTCAGACCCGTCTGTGTGTTACGATACTCAGTGGTATCTAAAATCACATCAAAGTCAGCGTCTGCTGTCATATTGCCATGTTATTTTAAACACTCGCCCTTCAAGCCATTAGCCTGTGGTGCTTTATACCATGTAGTATCTGTGTCGCGCCCACCCCTCAAAGAAATCCGTGCTTTTGGGAGGTGTAAAAAAAGGCATTGGACTGGTACCAGGTCAAAAGGAAACAAATAAATAAACACACCCTTGAACCCCTTAATGAAAAAAAGCCCTTTTAGATTCTTAGTTCATGGACAAAATGTATTGTACCCGCTTACAGTTGCAGTTACAGTTAAGTTACAGTTTGCAAATGAGCAAAAAATAACTGTGATCATTAACTTTTTCTTTCCCCTCAGAGTTGAAAGATGTTGAGGACTTCCTTCAAACCTTTCCTGACCTCGAGCAGCAGTTACAGGTTAATCGTCCCAACCTATTACACATCTCTCACATCTCACCTAACTTGGTGAAATACCTATGATGTTATATATCCTCCAGGACACACCAGTGGCAATATTTGGTTAGTTTGTGTATTTAAAATATGAAATATGCAGTGATGAGAAATAAAACCGTTTTATTGGGAACTAAAATGCAGGTTGAAAAGTCACAACTTGATAAAGTGCAGATAGATGAGGTAATGCACATGTTTGTTAGGGTTAGGAAATTCATATATCAATGAAGTTGTGCCCCCCACCCCCCCAGCATATTAGGGGTCCAAGCCCTAATGACAGAGCTGTGTTCTGCAAATAGTTTTATAGCGTTGCACAACTCAGTGCAATAACATCGTCACTCTGTTCTCATTCACAAGATTCATGGCAAAACAATTCGGGGGAGAGAACGGGCCCGAGCCCGTCGCTGTATCCCTCTGAGAGTCTGATTTATGAGTGCTGGATCCCTGATGCTATTGAGTGGGGCCATTTTTAGAGGGTCATGCCTGCAGTTGGAACCGTGCCCGGGGTTGACAAGAGGATGCCGACTAGTCAGGCATGCAACCAGATTACAGTTGATGTGGCCAGTGGTGGTACGACTGGTGGTAGAGACTGTGGAGGGGGGTCATGACGGTCTCTTTCTGTCATTGTCATTGTCATTGTGCAGCTGTGACTCACCAACATTTCTCACCTTGACATTCAACATACCGGGCTCCCAGTAAAGGGATATTCCCATTGTGACAACGTGGCTATAGTCTTCTTTAACTTTTTCTCCTCCAGTTTTTCTTCTTATAATTCTCCATTTTCACCTCTTCTTGGTGTCCACTTTCTTCCTCTTTTATAATACGCTGTCTCCCACTCTTTTCTTCTCGTCCTTCTCGTTATCGTGTTTTCATCATCCTTCTGTTTCATCGTCTTCTCCTTTTCCTCCTTCTTAATGCTGTGCTAACAATATAGTTGTTGTTGTGGTTGTTGTGGTTGTTCATCCAGCACGAGACTTCCAACAGACGCAGTGGGTCAGGTATCTGCACCACTGCTAAAATGTCTGATGTGTCTTGTGTCTGTGTGTGTGCCCTCCTTTACCACTAGGTGGAAGCAGAACCAGCTTTTTTTCCTCCAAAAGAGGCTCTTGGCCAATCAAATCGCTACAGAATACATTTTATCTTTAGTTCACTGGGTCAGTAACACTGAGTCATGCCAAAGGCATAAAGCACTTGGGCAACTACATTTTTATGTAATTAAAGAGATATAAAATGTGCAGTGTAATTTAGAAAGTGTCATAGGAAAGGCAAAGGGTAGTATTTCTTCATAATGTTGTGTAACATCCATCATTTTACTCTCAATAACATCTTATCCAGTCAGCAGTGAACTGGCACCTATCCCGGGAAGCGTATGGTGCAAAGCAGCATATATTTTGGGCTGGAGATCAACCAAGTGCAGTACAATGTAACAGTGTACAATTAGAGATGGTGACTGAGGACTAGTGAGTCATGGAAGGAGTTGGTTGAGCCTGTACAGACTGTTCTATTTTCTTGAGTAAGATGGTTGTATTTATGTTTTTACATTAATGTCAGTACGGGGAACTAGTAACAATTGATTTTGGAGCATTTTTGACCCTCATCATTCTGACTCGTTCTGTTCTACCTGCTGTGTATTGGGACATGTAATTAAGAGGACAGTTGGGTTAGAGACAGACCAGGCACTTTCCTAAATGCCTTAGAGAAATGTGAGCTATGACTGGCCAGTGGGGGGAAGCTGAGATGTGTCTGGCCTGAGTCACTCCGAAAGCAGAAGTTGCAGCCCTAAAAAACATGGGGAAGTGACTTAGCAGCTATTTTCCAAATGTTGTAATGTGCAGCCTCCTGAGGTCTGGTGATGTATGCCCCAAAAATGTATTCTGTAAAATAAAGAGGCATCTTTTAACCAAGCTGACAAAGAGGCATCCCATAAAGCAGATGCTTCCCAAAACATGCCCAGCACAACGTAATACACAAACATCTAGCAAATTTTTACATGACAGGATAAAATGATATTGCATCATCGTGACAAATAAACAACTTTTCCCAGAATTATTCACACGGCAGAGAAGTCAATATATTTATTCAACTGAACTAAAAGTTTGCATTCCAAATCATTTACACTCTCAGACCATTGATGGTGCATTAATGCTGTTCGTACCTTTGGGATGTTCCTCAGAGTCCATTTCTGTACCTTAAAAGGTACAATTACAAGGGTACAGCCCCAGTGACAAGCAAAGGTACAGTTTTTTACCCTTTTTTCTGAGAATGTATAACAAGCCTGTTCCTCTCAGCCAATATACCACCTGTTTTACCACAAAGAACCTTTACTAAGCCATTCATTAAGGGTTTCCCTTTGTTCTTAAATTTATTTATTGTCCTTTGCTCTTTTTAAAAGGCACATATGTTTTAGAAAATCTCATGAGTCAGAAGTTGCTGATATATTTACACGGTTCCAGTAGCAGGGCTACACGAGGGCGCAGTACCACATGAGTATGACTAAGGAATTCAATGGCTCCTATGTTGCTTTAACGTGTCATGGTCCTCTGTATCTCCGTGCTCCTGTCCATACTGTGTGGCTTCATGTCTCAGCTCCCCGCCATCACCTTGGCGCCCATTGCATCAACGCCGCTATCGTTCTCCCCTCTCGCTACCAGCCACTGCTTCCGTGCCAGGCCCTGAAGGAGTCCGTCCAGGTGTACAAGGACCACTGCAAGATGGCCAAGGAGTTCCACAAGGTCAAGACCGAGATTGCCCTACTAGAGGACCGAAAGTGAGTGAAGGCAGAGACTGATTATGACCCGTGCTGCTGTGTTGATGCAGGATATTAGTGTCTGTGTCTCTGTTGTTTATAATCATAGTAACATTTATGTTGGGCATTTGATTCATTTAGGGGAAACAGTAAAGAAAGGTATGGGTGGCCATTTTTGATGGGAAGTCTATTAACCACACCCGTCGTTATCCATCTGTTTGCCCGGTCAAGTTCAGGTTGAGAAAGTACAAATCCAGACCAAGACTTAGGCCCAATCCCAATTCTATTTTCTACCCCTTTGCCTACCCCTCGCCCCTTCCCCTTGCCCCTTGAAATGAAGTGGAAAGGGGTAGGGTTAAAAAATTTCCCCTAAGAAATGGGACACCACTACTACACTGTTATACGTCATTGTCACTACCTCCTAACGTTAAGTCAGAGGACATGCGCCGATGTTTATCACAAATTCCAAGATGTCGCCGTCAGCATCGTAGCATGTAAAGATTACTCACTCCCAAAGTTTTTTTGCGCCGTATTTGGACTTTAAAAACAGATGTTCTTCGGGTTTCCTCAGCTGTCCCTATACAGAATATAATTTACAAAAATGTTGTCATGTTGCAATAAGTACGAATAGTGTAAGCACCGTTCATTTACATGTACACATATGGCCGTAAGCAAAACAAAACAACGCGTTACCACATGCAGTCAGTTACTGGGTAACGTTATATGACATAAAAATATATTTCCTAATAATGTGCAATCAGTGCTATCCGCAAGCAAACTTTAGCGATTTTTTTTCAAACGTTTCTTTACAGAACATCACCGTAAACACAAACACAAGATTGATGGTAATATACATGTAATGAAAAAATGACATAAAAATCCTTATTAATGGCAAAAATTACTTAACATTTATGGGTCTGCTTGCTCGAGTGGGCAGTCATGTTGTAAATTTCTCTTAGCCCTTCGTTTGAAGTGAGGTCCCGAAAAATCTTCGTTTCGAGGGCTATCTAGCCCTTCCCCTTACCCCTACCCCTCCAATCAAAAGAGAATTGAGACACCCCTAGCCCTACACGTGAACGCGCCAAACGGAGGGGTAGGGGAAAGTGTAGGGGTAAGGGGTAGAATTGGGATTGGGCCTTAGTTTCAACCAAGCACTTGAGTATTCTGTGACTGTGACTCTATTTTTACTTTCTCAACCTGAACTTTCCACCACTGGTGGTAGTACTAGAACTAGTAGTACTGTTAGTAGTAGTAGCAGCAGTAGTAGTACTGATTTTGCACACTTCAGAGGTGTGGGGGGGGGGGGGGGGTGCTTGGTAGATTTTGCCAGCCTGGGGGGCAAATCGAAGGTGGTTCCCATCAGTACATTTATTACTGATGACCAGTTGCAGAAATGGTAAAGGGAATATTTATTCATTTATTATCTTAATTTTAGAAGCATACTCTGGAAATCATCTCATGACCCCCACTTTGGGAGCCCCTGGTATTAATGATGATAGTATCCATGGCAGTAGTAGGAGTGGTATATTAATCATAATTAATTCCTGTACATCAGAATTATAATCCTTTATTGGAGTGGAGTTTGGCAGCATGTTAGTGGCACTGTACAGGGTGCACTGTACAGGGTGCACTGTACAGGGTGCACTGTACAGGGTGCACTGTACAGGGTGCACTGTACAGTGTGCCATCATCAGTGACTAAAAGGTAATGTTCAGGTGCTGGTGAGCTGCACTGTGTTGTGCTCACTTACAGACATGCTCTGATGTGAGCTTCAGGCGGGTCACGGTGAGCTGGCTCTCACCAGCCACCTTCCATTCGGTACTTGATCCTGCCACAGACTTTACTTCCCTGTTCCTCCCCCCACCCACCACCTCCTCACGCCCACTCCCCCCCCCCACACTCGTGTGGTGTGCCGTGTAAGACTACTGAGAGGCCCTGTTCAGATGGGGGATTTTGCAGGACATGCATTACTACCCCTTTGTAGTTTCTGAATGGATGAAAAGCACTTTTTTATGAGGGACTACTGTGGTCTACAGTACAATTCAGCTGACAGGATGCCTGTGTGTTATTTTTGGTGCTTACATATCTGACAGAAGCCTTGCCAACAGCCCTCTTCCCTTTTGTGCGTACACACACATGCGCACACACACATATACACACACACAGACCTGTATATGTTTGTGGGGACCACTCACTTCTTTGGGAAAAGCCTAATCCCAACATTGACAACCTTAATCCCTACCCAGCCCTGACCTTAACCATAAGTAAACAAACAAAATACAAGACTTTTGGCATGTTTGGCTTTTTGATAGCAGTCACTGGTTTTTATAAAATTGAATTTCCGCTTTTGGGAACTGAAACAATGGTCCCCACAATATCAAAATGACAAGTTTTTATTACATTAAGGGGACTTTTGGTCCCCACAATGTAATGCATACCTGGACCACACACACACTCAAACTCCAGCCACAAATGTAAATACATGGGTTATAATACACTTTCAGAAAAGTACCAATTTGTATCGCTGCTTGTCACTGGGGCTGTACCCTCAAGGGTCTGCCAATTGTACCCTGTAGCTGTAGGTCGATGAGGAACATTTCTGTACCATTGGGGGTACATTAATGTTGTTTGTACCTTGGGGAGTCAATGTAAGGTACAGCCCCAGTGCCAAGCAAAGCTACAAACTGGTACCCTTTTTTCTGAGAGTGTACATGTTGAATATCGTGCAAAGAACTGGGATTTATTTTGTCATTTTTTTCACACCAGAATTTGACTGTGCACTGGACATCAGAGTGGGTGACGGTTACCATGTTAACCTGAGCTGGAGTGGTGGTGGTACTGGTACTGCCCCCCTAACCCCTCTAATGCCCCGCAGATGCAGCATGACACGCTAGCTGGGGCACTTTCTTGCGTCACACTCCGTACTGGATGACAAGGGGGTATCGGGGTATCCTCTCAAGTCATTCCCCTTTGCCTGTCATCTCAGTTTTAACGCCACTACAGATAGATCTTCCTCATCTTCCAATATTAGCATTTTACGTTATTATTAAATTATTACGATAAAAATAATTGCGACAAAACATGCTTGTTGGACACATGTAATAATTTTCTTCCCCCTTGGAGCACTGAAACCACTGATACAAATCAGTTGCCACAGAATAGTTTCTGAGGTCTAAATAGAGAAACAGGTGATTCAAGGTTTGTTTTAAATTTGACTCCCAGGGTCAGGGTCAGGCCTTCATTTGGATGTAAAAAGAGCCCTTTTCTATGGTCAAAGGCTTCACAAGAAATTCAGAGAAATACAGACTTTCAGATGTTCCTGGGTACTGCAGCAGAAACTCATAAAGAAACACAGAAGTACAAACTTTTAGCTGTACATGCTCTCAAGGTAACTGACCGATACTGTTGCCAAGCAATGACGTGTCTGTTTACCAGTTTTCAGATACCTTTTTTGGGCAAGGAAGTATACCTCCCTTAAGTGGACACATAGGGGAAACAAAATATCCCATGGATAGCCCTGCAAACATTCTGGGGCAAAAATTATAGTTTGGATTCACCAATATTATATCCAACCAAAAAGGAGATGCCCTCAAACTGAATATCTGGTCATGTTCATCAGTATAGGTGAATAGTTTGTACTCCTGAGAACGGAGACTCCATTAATTCCCCCTGGCAGTTTATCCAAGGGAGTGTCAGTATATCTTAAAATAAGCAACGTCCATCACGTTCTGTGCCGGACGTGAACATTTTGTTCACTCTTCTGTTTTCCCATATCTTCTATCTAGAGCTTACAGTATGTTCTTCAGCCAGAAATAGGAAAGAAACAAAATTCAGCACCTTGAACAATTGGGAGAGGTAAAGCAATCAACAGGGGCGCATATTAGTTTAATGCCGCATATCAGTAAAATCTGCTGACTCTGATATCCTGTCTATCTTGTTTTCCATTTGTACTTTGGCAAAGGATTTTTTTTTCATGACGTTGGCTCGCTGGCCAGCTTATGTGTGCCTCGTGGCTTGAAGTCAGTTATCTTTTCTCTGGAAGCAGGCCAGGATTGTTGCAACACCTCCCACAGTGTCTCCCCTTGGGGCAACACAAATAACCGGTGTGATGAGAAGGCAGGCAGCTTGACGGACACTGTGCCTCACCAGGTTATGGCTAACAGATCACCGGCAACTAACTAAGCCATCTTGAAATCCGACATGGAGTGTGCTCGGAAAGTGCAGAGTCGGGTAATTCAGGTCTAGAGATTAAAAGTCTAGACCAAGATTTTGTTTCAACTGACCAGTTGAGCATAAAGAGTCACAGTAACAGAGTACTCAACTGTTGGTTGAAACAAAATCCCGGTTTGGACTTATACTATCTGGATCTGAATTACCCAACTCTGAGAAAATGTCCATAATGTCAGGCCCAGTACAGAGTGGTCAGGCACAGAGATGGAAATTTCAGGTGCAGAAAGTAAAAATCCAGACCAAGATTTTCTTTCAACCAACCAGTTGAGTACTGGGACTCTTTATGCTCAACTGGTCGCTTGAAACAAAATCTTGGTCTGAATTTGTACTTTCTGCACCTGAGATTTCCACCTCTGGTCAGACATTCATTTAAGAATGCAACATGGCTGGTCTGTTTTGTTCTTGTGGCATTTCATACAGGAAAGAACTGATTGCAGAACTGATGGAGGATGAGAAAGCCAGTGTGGAGATTGCCCGTTTGGAGGAGGAATTCCGAGTGCTCTCAGAGGAGAACCGCACTCTGGTGAAGGTCCACAGCCAGCGTCTGGAGACCCTCAGGGTGCTTAGCCAGAAGAGGCAGGGCTCTTCATGACCTTTGCCTACCCAGTGGTCCTCCCCAACTTAGGAGGTTCTCCTCTTATTTGAAGGTCTACTGGGATCACATGATCTGAAGTTTCTGTTAAGGGAAATGAGGTCCCTATATTAATTTGGGTCCTGTCCTCAGGCCAAGGTCCATAAGGTCCACTTGCTTGTGAACAAGCAGTTCCGAATCCTGGATTTCTCTCCTAGCTGTCAGCCGCAGACATTCAAAATGATTTTTTGTTTCTGTTCAACAGTTGAGTGTATGTTATGATTATACGCATAGCTCTTCAGTGAGGACAGTTGCTCATAGAGTGTATGTATACATTTTCTGGAAAAGTATAATGTCTGATCTACAGTGTTGTGAAACTCAGTACTAAGCATGTCTTGTTTCATTTTACGTATTTTCATGTTCTATTAAGGGTTAAATGAAGGGTCGACACATATTACTGGTTTGTATCTATCTTAAAGCAGACATTTATGAATTGGTAAATAAAATACATTAAATGTTACAAATTGTTTCCCTTTACATGTGTTGTTTTTAAGCTACATACATGGTACCTGAAGAAAAGGAACTCGACGTTTCCCGATGTGTGCAGTTTTGTGTCATTGTGAAAGAACCCCATCAAGCTTATGTTTCTTTACTTAACCGCCCGGCAAATTTCACCGGCACAATTGCGGAAAAACTTTGGGAATTATTATCAAAAATACACGGGCTGTTCCCCATGTAGCAAAACCACAATAAAATTAGACCATTACAAATATCAGCATTATGTGCCACTATTCAATACCTATGACATGGCCTATATATCATTTGTGTGTGTGGGTCATGTATGTATTACATTGTGGGGAGATTTGGTCCCCACAATGTGATAAAAACCTGGTGTTTTGACCTTATGGGGTCATTTTTTCAGTCTCCACAAAGGGAAGCTCAATTTTAGAAAAGTCTGTGAACGCTATCAAAAAACTGAAAATGCCAAAAGTCTTGTATTTTGTTTGGTTATTTATGGTTCCTTTGTCCTATGTTACCTTTCTGTTCCTATTTCTTATGTTAAACGGGTCAGTGTCGACGACCCGTGTCTTAAATCAGCCATAAAATACCCTCAGAACAATAATTCATCATCCAATTTGTTTCTTACCTCTTGGTTACCTTGTTAGGCTTCCTTATCCATGAAAAGATTAGTTGTAATATTTTTGGTGTGGCTTTCTGGACCTTTCTTTGGACAGCATTCCTCTCGTTTTCAACAAAAAAAATAATGGTAAAATAAACCTCAAGAGAGTTATATAAATAAACTGAATTGGTCTTATCTTGCCTTACATGTATGGGCATGCCTTGCCTTAATTTTGTTTTAATTTATTTTGTTTAAATAGAGGTTCCTGACAAAGTCAAAAAGCCTTGATGCAGTACGCAAATTTATGTGGTGCTTTTATGCATTTTAAACTTAAAAACCGTTCAGTGCTGACCCCAACACCAGAGCGGATATAGTCTTGACCAGAGCATTTATAATTTAGTGAATTTTTTTTACTATTATTTTGTTTAAATAGAGGTTCCTGACAAAGTCAAAATGCCTTGATGCAGTAACACGATAGCAAGGTTAAGGTTAGGGCTGGGTAGGGGTTAAGGTCATCGTAGATTAGGGTTATGCCCATAGAAACGAATGGAGGGTATGCCCCGAAGATACAGATAGTAAATCTGCTCCGGCACTTCCTGTGTAGCTATAGCTCTTTAAGTAGAAATAAAACAAGCACAGACATTTCTGGTTTACCTTTGTGAAATAAAAACGTACAGATGGCCATGCTTCTCTATCGAAACCTCATAATACACACTCAATATGTACGGCATTTGCCTAAATTAACACCAATAACTGTCAAAATAGCTGGTATGAGGTAAGGTTCCCACAGAGCAAGATCAGATCCGGATCAGGACCAAATGTTGTTCAGATATCGCCACAGATCTGTAAACCCGGATCTAGCCCACTGTCTTTTTTCACAATAACCAATACTGGTCTGAATCCGCTTTCTGGATCTGAAACAGATAAGGACCCTATATGGGACAGATTTACATTGAATATTACCGAATCTGGCCCATATTTGCACCAGAGTCAAAAGTTAAATTCAGATCTGGTCCGAATGTGGCTCAGACTCATTTTTCCAGACTGACTGCCGACCAGTTCTGCTACAGGATCCTAACTTAACATAAAATAATAAATAAATAAATGCTTTTATTTGCCAAAGTACATCAGAATGCGTCTCTTCATCTACTTTTTGCATAGGGGTCACAGCACCTGGTCAGCCAATCCACGGCGTCCCTGGAGCTGGGGGTAAAGGCCTTGCTCAAGGGCCCATGGACATGTGACTGTTCTGCCGAGAATCGAACCAGCAATCTTCTGATCATGTGCACAGGGATCTAGCTGAGACACTCACCACCCACATATATTAAGCTAGGATCCTCCAGCAGGACTGGTCAGCAGTCAGTCTGGAGAACATGAGTCTGAGCCACATTCGGACCAGTTCTGAACTTAGCTTTTGATTCTGGTGCAGATACAGGCCAGATTTGGTAACATTCAATGTAAATCTGGTCCAGATATGACCCTTATCTGTTTCAAATTTGGAAAGTGGATTCGGATCAGTATTGGTCCACTGTTCAAAAAGACACCAGGCCAGATCAGATTTACGGATCTGCGGCAATTTCTAAACAACATTTGGCCTGAATCAAGTTCAGATTCATCTTGATATGTGGGGCAATCGCTCCTCAGATTCTTTCTGCATCAGTTGCACATCCGGTAAGTGATTGATCATACATATATCCAGAGACGATTCTGGGAACTCTGGGGGCCCCAGGCAAGAAAACTCCTCCCCCCCCCCCCCCCCCGGCATGGTAACTCGTATTACCTCTACTTTACTGTAAACTGTAAATACATACAAACTGTTAATAATATCAACAAAGAGAATTTAATAAACTCAAGACCTACATTTTCATTTTTGTGAAAAACAGAATATACAAATAAAGCAAATTTGTCGTTGCAATGTACTATGTAATTGGTGGCCCTCGGAGGCCCCCTACTAGATCGGGGCCCCAGGTCATTGCCTGCCTTGCTTATCCTGTTGCTATGCCTATATGTATATGGTTAGGCAAAAGCGTGCTGGATCTTCAGAGCATATACAGACCATCTGTATTCATTTAGACCTCTGGGTAGATTCTGGTGCAGACTCTCCTGCCCAGATTTAAGGAGAAGCAGGTAGATCTGGCCCACAATCAGTTACTATGTGGGTTGGTCCACCGTGGCTTATTAAGAACTAGTCATTTGCGTTAAATGTGTGTGGGAAAGATTCCACTTCCTTATGGTAAAATTGAAATTAGGCACTACTTTCAAACCGGAAGGCTTTTTAAAAAAAAAGAATCAATCAAAAATTTATAATAATAATAATAATAATAATAATAATAATAATAATCTTAAACCGTAATTATTATTGATTATTATATAAAAATCGAATAACAATGGAGTGCCTCAAATTTTGTAGGCCGACTATGTCAGCAATACACTAGGCCTACAATAAAGTTAAAAATTGTAATTGCATTTTTAGTCATGCTGGCACTTTAAATCTGGTGAATTTGCGATACTGAGTAGATAAGCAAACAGGAACGACACTTTCTGTTTTAAACGTTCTTGAAATTGTTCACCAGAGACAAGGCCCATGGACAGATACGGAGTGCTTCCTTCGGGTGACATAATGACATTTAATGACAGGCTGAAAACGAAGAACGAATGACGGAATAGAAAGCTTGCAAGAGAAGGCGCACAGAAGAGCGCAACAAACTGATTACAGATAAAGGCAATTTCATTGAAAGGGGCGGAAGTTAAGCTCCAGTACACTAGCTGACTTCGAACACGACCAAGGATAGCGTTTCGGTGCGCGGAAAGGGGAACATTTTGGTTAATGTCACATGATTCCAGTTAGGGGAAAAAACGCCAGTCAATCGGACCTTTATTTGAACTGGACTGTACACATACAATATTGTTTACACTTTAGGGGACGGGTCGAGAATTATTAAAGATCGGGGCTTACGTTCTCTGAAATTATATGACAGGTTTGTACATTTTTTTTACAATACTGGCTTGTATAGAAACTATTTAGATTTGTATTAAACCTTATCTGATACAATAAACATTGTTTTTCAGGGACTTTTTTTTATCCATCTGCCAATGAGAGGGGGACGTTCACTTTAAATCTTCACAGGTAGTGTAAGTCTGGGTGAAAGAAATGTCGCAATAAATAAAAAATGTAATATGAATTTGCTTAAAGCGTTTGGTTAAATTGTCTTAGAATGAACAGCCGACGTTTCTTTAATTTATCGAAAATGTCATAAACTGGAATTTGTACTAATTTTACTTTTATAGTTCTCAGCATGGCAAGAGAAAGTACCACGTTAAAGCTAAAAGACATGCTATGTGTGCTGTTGCTTCTGTGCCGATTGTAATGTTTTTTACACGGAAACAGCATACGCGGACGACACTAACCACTTATAAACCAGTAAACTAAAACAGAGTTGAATTGTACTGTTTTAAGCATTTCGACTTACTCGCAGTGTCATAAAAGGAGAAAAATATGTTGATGTATAGCATATATACATGCATGTGTATAAAATAAGCGTATATAATGCTCCTAACAGGCATAAATGATTTTAAGCATTTATTGCACACAGGAGCATGATTTATTCTTATCTGTAAGCGCAGCTGCATAGACTGGCTTTTGGAAAAGTGCTTGCTCATCCTTTATCAGCAGAAGCGCGTGAATCAGCGGCTCGAGCTGTTGCACCGCAGCGCGCAGCCCGCGTGACGAGACAGAGCGGCGGTCATCCGCTGCCCAGATACACGCAAGGTGTAGGGAGACGTCCTCTTTTTTGAATATGGCTTATTCACCCAGTTGTTTATTTTAAAATTATACTGGGCCGTGTTGGTGACTACTGTTTATTGAAGAATTCATACGAGTCTGGCTTTACTTGTCTAATTGTTTTGGAGCCGTTTTGGAGGTATTTTATCAAATGCAAATTCCACTCTCGCCCGGGTCTACTTAAACATTTAGCGTCTTTAGCATAGTCTGTCTTACTCCGGTAAGTCACTTATTTCAGCATAAGTGAGCAGCCTAGCATGTTGTGTACATGTAGTCTTGTTAATTCAGCGCAAGAATCACGTGAAATTCACGGTTATCCTTAATGAATTTGACGTTTATGTGAATTGTGTTTTTCCTGTCTTGTACACAATAGATGTCCCAGATAATGTCTTTCGAGAGCCGCAAGACCTCCACGTTCACTTTCCAGTCTTCAGTGCACAGCACGCGGGTACTCCAGTACTTGGATGAGCAGCGGCAGAAGGACGTATTGTGTGACATCACTGTAGTGGTGGAAGAAAGGAGTTTCCGTGCCCACCGCGCCGTACTGGCAGCATGCAGTAACTTCTTCCAGACCAGGATTGCCAGCCATGCGGGGCAAGGGCTGGTCATCACACTACCCAGTGAGGTAGGTTATGATGATGTTTGGGCTAGTTTAACTCAAAACTGAGTTACTTTAAAGTTTTACCTCTTTTGTGAGGGGGGAAACAGATATGTTTTCCTGGGCCTGGGACTGGAGGGGGGTCCCATCATCAAAATCTACCTAGGGAAAACATTTTGATGTAAGTGACTATACATGTTCTGTCCTTGTTTGTGTGGGTTTCCACTGGCTTCCTCTTCAGTTTCCTCTCTTAGTGAAAACAATTTTCTTACTTGAACTGGATTTGACCATTGTGTTTGTGTGTAAGTGTGTGTCCTGCCATGAACCAACATCCCATCCAGGGTGTCACCTGTCTTGTGTCTGGTGCTACCCAGGATAGGGTCTGGGTGGACTGGAAGATGGATAGATAGATATATATTTTCTCTCTTTATGTAGGTCACAGTGGAAGGATTTGACCCATTACTGCAGTTTGCATACACAGCAAAACTCCTCTTCACCAAGGAGAACATCTTGGAGATTCGACGATGTGCAGCGATCTTAGGTTTCCGCAACCTGGACAAAGCCTGCTTCGAGTTCCTGCTTCCCAAATTTTTTGATGACACAAAAAATGAACAGTCAGTCTATCGGAAATCGTGGTGGAAGAAAAGATGCTGCAAGCAGAAACCTCAGGGAGCCAAATCCAGTAGCGTTGTGGACGACAATGACAACGTTGAGGATGTAGACATCGAGTCTACCGATGGTCCTCTGAAAGAGCCAGACAACAAACCGTGTTGGTATGCCAGACCATCCATAAACGCATGTGGCCACTGCAGCCCTATCAATCAGGAGAGGACACAGAAGGGGGACTTCCCCACAAGAGAGAAACCCTGTCTGGGAACCTGCCCAGGGCTGGCCATTGAGAGCAACAGTGGACAAAGCATCAGTGAAGACCTGGTCCAGTGCCAGCTGAGCCAAAGCAAGTCACACTCAGACCACATGACACGTGAGAAGGAGGTTGCCATGGCACCCAGCTGCCTCCAAGCACTTTCAGAGAACACTACTGCTACCAGCTTCAAGGAGATGCAACATTTGGGCTCTAGGCATGATGTGAGGTCAAGAGGAATGAAATTTAAATGTTGTGTACTGGATAGTTTGGATACACCCTTCCATAAACTCTCCCGTAATGTTGAATCGATACATCAAGGGTCTGTTGATGGATTGAATTATGTAAACTCCCAGAGTCTGACTCAGAAGAACAGGGAGAGAGATCAGAGGAGCAGCATTGAGAGGGAGGTAGCTGAACACTTAACTGCCTGGTCCAACTCGTGTGAGGCAAGCTGCTCCATAGACCCCAAAAAGGAGGACTGCCCATTTCTCCAGGAGCTGAGAGATGGGAGCGCATGGCTCCCTGAGTGTGAAAGGGCTACCATTCCTGAGAAAAGCCCTTGCATCTCCGCCATCCATTCGGGGGAGGACTCGGACGCTGACACAGAGGGAGACAGCGAGTGCTGTATCAACGAGAGGGCTCGCAAGGTGGGCGAAGCTTTCCCTGATAAAAAAGAAACAGAAATAACATTCTTGAGTCATTGAGCCAGTCTATATCGGTCAGGCCACTGTGGTAGAGATGGGCTTTTGTATATATTAGTGTACAATACATTTGTGCTTTTGTTCGCCTCCTGTTCCCCTCATCTCCGTTCTTGTTCCCTCTGCGTGGCACAGGTGCAGCTGCCTTATTCAGTGGAGGAGATCTCCTCCTTGAGTCGCAATGAATTCCAGCAGCTGCTGAAGGTGCGGCAGTTGACCCAGGAACAGATGGACCTTGTGCACGACTCGCGGCGACGCAGCAAGAACCGCATGGCTGCTCAGCGCTGCCGTAAGCGCAAGCTGGACTGCATCCATAACCTGGAGTGCGAGATCGACAGACTGGTGCGAGCAAGACCCCTCTGTTGTTCGTTTGTGTTTTTTATTGCTTACTAGTCGTCTACAGAGGTGGAAAATCCAGACCATTATTTCGTTTCAACCAACCAATTGAGTACCCTGTCACTGTGACTCTTTATACTCAACTGGATGGCTGAAACAAAACTTTGGTCTGGATTTGTATTATCTTGACCTGAACTTTCCACCTCTGGTTATCTAATGCATGATCTATTTGGTCTCACTATAAACGAAACCTGTACTGTAGTCCTCTCTTCTGTAGCAATAGTTATCTATTTCGGTTTCCATGTTTGTCGTTGTCCTGCAGAGGTCTGAGAAGGAAAAACTCCTCCAGGAGCAGAATCATCTTAACCAGCTGAGGCTCAGGACCCGGCACAGTCTGTCAGACCTGTGCCAGCGGGTGTGCAGGGAAGCCAGGCTGCAGCCGGACCAGCTGGAGGTGCTGGCCAAATACTCGTCACCAGATTGCCCCCTGTCGATGGTCATGGCAAACATGCCCCCCGTAGGACCCCCTAGACTGGACCGAGACCATGTCCAGGAGTCCCTGAAAACGCATCTCGTGGACCCCCCTGTGGACACCCCATCGATGAGGCCCCCAGAGTGCCCTGGAAGCCACCTGCCCGCAATGCCCAGCTTAGCAAAAGCTCACAACTGGTCACTGGATGGCACATCCACAGGACACTGCCACCCTTATGTCTTGGACACGAGGAGCAAGTCTCCCACTGATTCATGAAGAAACTTTTTTCAAAAAAAAAACTTTTTTCTTTTTTTTTTCTTGAAGAACATGCGAGCAGTCACTATGCCACACAACTGCCAGCACTCACCTTTCAAAGAATATGAATGCAAAGTACACAAAAGTGTCCCGTGCACTGGACCGGACGGCAGAATCACGGAACGTGGGGACAGGAAATAGGAACGGGAGGCTTCTGTTTGAGTAGAGGAGGGGAAACGTGTTCAACAAAAAAAAAAGGGGGGGGCAACTTAAACGATTGTTTCTGCATCAGCACAAGTGAAAACAGAAGTTAAAATGGGCATTGGATTGTGGGTAGAACTCAACAGGGATGGGGGTTCTGGGCTGAACCAAATCCTGTGTGACTGGTAATAAGGCACAGTAGAAGTGAATGAATGTGCTCATCCCCTGCACAGGACATCCATGCCTGACCGTCTTACATTTACTAGGAAGAATGCATTCACAAGCTCCATATAGGATATTGTACTATGTCCTTTTTTGGAAGGAAGTAGTAACTGTATCCTTTTATTGTATGTTATTGGAAGTCTTGCTTTGTCGTGTACAGTATTAACATGCATTCCATGCTCTTCCAATACCATTCAGAACCTCATCAGGAGCAATTTCCTGTAGGCGGAACTTATTTCATGGGTAGATATTAGCAGGCAGAGCCTTGATAACCTGTCAGGAGATGTGATTGTCCTCTGGATTGAGAGTATGGTAAGGGTAAATCATATCATTTTAACTGTCAAACCCAGACTATGTAAGCAGGAGGCGATGATCGGCAAACTTGGTTAGAGCGTGCCTGTGTATCAGAACTGCCTAACTTCCAGGCGTGCCCTGGTCTTCGATTACAGGGGGACGTTTTTTAAATGTACAACCTCTACAGCCTCAGGTCCAACACACCAACACATACCTCAGCAGGGCAGAGACTGCATTTCCAGGTAACAAGGATGAATGTAATTTCTGCACTCAGCAGAGCTGCAGAAGCTGCAATAACAGTTACAAACAAGCCCTTTTCTTGGTGGCACAGCATAACTATCTTTCTTTATCGAACTGAATGATGGTACGTTTTTTGACTTGAGGGCTCACAATCCAACATCATGTAAGTTTCAGTCATCAGCGATCATGTCGCCGTACGTTCTGTTGAGTGTCCACTGTGTGCAGGGGCACCGTAAAGGGGGGAATGTTTGGATGATTCCAAGGGCGCCAGAGTGACAGGAGCCCTAAAACGTTTGTGACATAATTGTTTTGTTCTGGGATAGGGGCCCAATAAGATATGCTTTCCTTGGGTCCAAAACATCTAAAGGGTGCCTCTGTCTGTGTTTCCTGCCTAGGGACCAGGCCATGGGGACAGACTCTCCATCATTCCTCAGTAACTCAATCACCTATCATTGTTTCTATTTGCTGAAACAATTATTGAGAAGCTGTTTACTTCTGGGCTCTGTAAATGTCTGAAGCGTAGAAGATACAGGTTCAGAGATGGTCTGTCTTGACTGCACCCACAAGACGATTGTATCTAAAGAAAGTCTTCACAATTATCCTGTTGCTATTTTGATTCTGCTTCCTAGTTTGGGTGCTAGAGGTGGGGGGTGAGTACAGAGTAATGCTGAGTCGCACCCACCAAAATATTTAATTGTGTCAGACAGAAGCAACAAAAATCACAGTTAAGACAGCTTATAAAAGATTATTTTAAAAAGTCATGAAGTAATTAATCCTAGGAATCCAGAGTATTCCAGAAGGGTTTGACGTTTGAAGTTTGTTGACTTCCAGCTCCCAAAAAAGGTGACTATAACATTGCGACTGGCCTACTAAGTCTGTTATGGTAATGTCTCAGCTGGAGGGGGGGGGGGGGGGGGGTATACAGCACACGGGTATACAGTTAGACAGCAGACTTTGTAATAGCACAGGTGTCTCTAGGCAACGTGTCCCCTTTATGCAGGTCACTTGACCAGGACATAGACCAGACAAACCATGTAACCCTTCAGCGTCACACTTCAACTAAAATCCACAACCTCTGAATTTGCTTGCTGTTTTTTTAAGCTTGCTTCCATGACCTCTCTGTATTGGATCTATTTAATGTAAATTCCTTTTTACTGGATGTTCTTTTTTTCCTATTTCAGTTATGTTTTCTCAACACAATTAAAAGAAAATCTCTTGCTATTCAAAAAAAGTTCATAATGAGGTTTAGTTTTGATCTTGCAGGATTCTTCACAATGTCAGTGTAATGGATGGAAGCTTTGATTATGCTTTGAATTCTTTTTGAAAATATTCATTCTGTTCAGACACATTTCATTGCAGCCGCTGCTCTCACTTGGTAAAACTGAGCTAATGTGCTCACAGAAGCACTGCACCAACCAAGTTACAGCATTAATACATCCAACAGCTCTGTATCCCCCCCCAGATCTTAATAATCATTATTTTCATTTTTCCTACTAGCTGCACTTCTCATGGGGGCTGTTATTTACATTGATTTTGTCTACATGAAAATCAGTTAGAGCGCGCTTGTGTACCAGAACCGCCGAACACAATCCTGTATACTCAATAAAATCTTCTTTTTTTTTGTATTTGGTTTTTATTTGGAAAGCTTGTTTTTTATTGCTTTAGTGCAACCTTTACAGTCTCAGTGAGCCGCTACACCTTTGGACTCCATGAGTTTAATAGCTGGATAAAAGAGGTCGTTCAAAATTTTCCATCTTGAGATTACAAAATACGAACAAAATGCCTTTTGTTGCCATCTGGTGACTGTAATAAGCAACAGCAACAAAGGAGCAAGTTCTAGAACAGGGGTGGCTGATCTTACCTGCAAAGGGCCGGTGTGTACGCAGGTGTTTGGGATAACCTGTAGGGCAGCTGTTCAAACCTAGGTGTGAGGACTCTTTAGCCAATCAGTCCTCTAATTAGTAGTCTAGTTAGCAGTGAAAACCCACGTATCCAACGGCCCTTTCTGGATAAGATTGTCCACCCCTAGAATCTAGAAAATGAACTACTTACTCTTCCAATAAATCCTCATCACTTACATCTGCAATTTTGAAGATGTAATATCGTATTATTGTTCTTTAAGAAGAGATCCTTTATAAATCTTGGGCTACCATATCCTGATTTTGAAGTCCGTTGGTGTTTCAGGTTCAGCTTCGTTTTAGCTCTGGACACGACTAGCTGACCACCAACACATCCAACCGATCTAAGAGACCCACTAGGCTTATAGTCTACAAACATATCTGGGATATAATTTGGGGCTAAACCATTCAGAGATTTGTAGACCATAAATAGTACTTTAAAAGCAGTCCCTAGCAGCAACATTTTGAATGAGCTGAAGCTGTAGGAGGGACTTTTGGGGAAGACCAGTAAAGAGACCATTGCAATACCCAATCTACTGGAAATAAATGCATTCATAAGGTCTTAGGAATACAGCCTCTCATTTGAGATGCGTATCACTGCAGCCAGGAGCTGAAAGTTGAGTGGGTGGGGCAATGTCAAGTAGGAAGGGCTATGTGGAATAGGAGGGGCAATGTTGAGTGGGAGGGGCAATGTCGAATAGGATATAGAATGTGTGAGGGGTTTATGATGAGGGCCCTTTTATCATCTGATATCCTAACCCAAACCCTGCCCCTCATTATAAACCCCTCCCACCCCTCACGATAAACCCCTCCTACTTGACATTACCCCTCCCACTCTACACTCTGCTCCCAGCTGCAGAGATATCTACTTGTCTGATTTTGGCTATATTTTTATTATAAAATAGCACCTTAGATATGGTTGCTGAAGTTACGGTCCTCGTCTATTATTACAGTAAGATTTTTAACTTGCCCTGTTGTCTTTATAGTCTTAGCACCCAGAAAAGCATTTGGTTTGAGTCTTTCAGCTTTATTACCAAAAATCATTATTCCAGTCTTGTCTTCCTTTAATAGGAGGGAATTTTGTTGCATCCAGCCGTTTATTGTCTAGAGGCAAAGACAAAGTGATTCTATTGGACTATAGTCATTTGGTATCATCCGCATAGCATCCATAAGCTACCTTGCTGCCTCTAAGAATTTAGCCAAGCTGGAGCGCATAAATATTAAATCAGAGGGGCCCTAGATTTGATCTGTGAGGGACTCCATAAGTCATGGTAGTACGTTTCGACTTATAACTGCCTGTAGTGACAAAAGATTCCCTGCAACATAGTTTTCTAACCTATCTAAGAGTATTTTATGGTTACCCATGTCAAAGTCCGCGCTGATGTCCAGTAACACTAATTTACCTGAATCCACGTTTAGACAAATGTCATTTATTACCTTTAATTGAATAGTCTCAGTACTGTGATGGGGGTAGAAGCCAGACTGAAAGCAATCAAGGCAGGTGAGGGAGTTTGGAATTTGAGGAAGGACTGCTTTCTCGATAACTTTGCCCATTAATGGAAGATTTGCGGTAGGCCGTAAGCATTGCGGCATCTAGGTTTCTCCTTTGTAGGAAGGTCTTAATAGCGGAAGTTTTCAGTGATGCTGTGAAAATACCCAACAGAGAGCATTTGCAGTAAATATTTGTAGTAAATCTAACGTCACTGAGGACCACAGCTTTATGACCTCATCAGTTTGATTATAACCTTCTGCTTATGTAATAAACGTTTTACAATGTGAGTCTGGCTCCCACCAGCTTTTATTATGTCATATGCGATGCTTTAGGTTGTATCACCCATCACTATGGCGATGACACAGGTCTTGTTGAGACTATAGGGTTTTGTTTTTGTTGACATTTTATTTACTTACACATGTATAAAAGCATATTGGTTAAACCCAAATCAATGGGGTGCTTGCTGATGTCCCCTTGAGAGAGTGACTTGTTGCTTTGGTTAAGTGACAAGTTAGTGGGTAAATGTCATTCAATGAAAAACAATGATATTGATTCCAGTGGAAACCCTGATTAACTTAAATGTGGCATTTATTGTCAGTGCCAGATGTGGTGTTCACTGTGTCATGCTAAGGTGCCAGATGTGGTGGTTCACTGTCTCATGCTATGGTGC